GAAGAACAGCAGCCCCACGCTGAGGATGGGGAAGACACTGGATGCTCTCACTGCACCTGTGGGACAGGGAGCAGGGCAGGATCAGCTCCTGGGGCAGGGGCTGCCAACATCCCCCCCCCAATGCCTGCACCCGGGAGGGAGCAGTGCAGGGGCATGTTTGGGGCTGCCAGGAGGGTGGAGAGACCCAGCACAGGTCCCCACTATGCATCCTCTGCTTGTCATGGAATCCTGGAATGGTTTGGGTTGGAAGGGACTTTGGAAATCATCCCATCCCCTGCCATGGGCAGGAACACCTTCCACTAGCCCAGGTTGCTCCAAGCCCCGCCCAGCCTGGCCTTGGACACTTCCAGGGATCCAGGGGCAGCCACAGCTTCTCTGGGCAACCTGTGCCAGGGCCTCACTGCCCTCACAGGGGAGAATTTCTTCCCAGTATCACTATTGCTCCAGATCCCAACACCAGCCCTGCAGGCCCCGTGATTCCAGCCACAAGAACAGCTTAATCCCTGAATTTCTTTTCCCCCACCTCCTAGGCTATTTTTTCCAGCCTTGTCACACACTCAGCACCAGCAATTTACCTTCCCATTACCAAACACACCACCCACAGGTTTCAGCTGTGGATGTGCCTCTGGAGTCTGGGGTGGCAGAAACCACACAGATCTCACCAGGCTGGGGAGGAACTGCCAACCACAGGGTCAGAAACCTTTCCTGTAGGGCCCAAACTGTCACAGCTGCTTTGAAAGCCAAAATTTGCAAACTAATACACCTCAAGTTCAACAAAAAGTAATTTTCTGATGTAGAAGAGGAACATTTTCAAAATGAACAGAGAGCCCCTGGAGCCCAGCACAATGCCGTGGCCCTGGCACTGGGCTCCATCCCACAGGATCAGCTCTGGCAGCGCCAGTCTCTGCATGCTTGGGAGTCACTGACCAGGCCCTACACAAAGAAGGGTCTTTCCTGAACTGATCAGCTTCCAAAATGACAATAGAGAGTAATGAATACAGCAAATCACTACCTGCTGCACCAAAAATACACCGTGCCTTGGTTTGGGCTCTCATCCCTCGATTAGGGCTGTTATTAAAGCACAGAAATACAGAGAGGCCCCATTAAAATGCCACTCTGGGGGCTTTAAAATAGACTTTTTACTTTAAATGTAGGAGGGGGTGGGAGAACTTCAATGCTAATCTCCTAAAACTGCAAACCTATTCCATCAAAACCCCTCCCCTCTCTGTTTGGTGAGCAGAGCTGTAGAAACTGGGGAGTTCAGAGCAACATCTGGCTGAACAGCAGCTGGGTCAGGCGGGGGATTGGGGCTGAGCACTGGGCACTGGGCACAGGGCCCTTCTCCTGGGATTCCTCCCAGCCCCAGGGGCTCAGAGAGCACCCAGGGCTGCCACCGCCTCCAAGGCTGCCACGTGCTCCTGCTGCCATATGTTCTCGTTTGGAAACACAGGTGTTGGAATGAACCCTCAGCTGTGCAGGTTCCACAGCCTGTCACACACGTGTGTGGCTGCTGACGGGCTGGGCAGTCCTTGCCTGTGTGCCTTTGCACTTTGGGGCGTGTCATTTGTGTCCAGGCTCTGTCACCAGGTGTCCCAGTGCATTCACACACGTGTCTGCAGAGCACTGAAGGGACTGTGCCCCTACTCTGGGGGGTCAACCTCACCCAGCCTCAGGGGTCCCCATCTTGTCCCCTGAAAGGGGAAATTTAGGTTAGATATAAGGAAGAAATCCCTCCCTGGGAGGGTGGGGAGG